AGCACGACCACTCCCCAGCACGACCACACCGCCTTGGTTGAGTGGTTGCCTGTCGTCGTGGAATGTTTCGTGGGGTGTCTCGTGGAATGTTTCGCGGGGTGTCTCCTGGAATGTTTCGTGAGGTGTCTCGCGGAATGTTTCGTGAGGTGTCTCGTGGGATGTTTCGTGAGGTGTCTCGTGGGATGTTTCGTGAGGTGTTGCCCCGTTGGGTCTCGTGAAAACGTGCCCATGCTCCACATGTCTATATCCCTTTCCGGGTTCGTGGGTCCATCATGTTCCCGTTTCCGGTCGCCGTTTTCCCCGGAAAGGGCAGAGGCCCAGGGTTCTCTTTTAGTATGTAAACATGTCCCCCGGTGCCTGCTTGAAGGAGGCCGGCGAATTTTTTCCCTGATAAATAACGAGGTCGAAGGAGGCCGGCGAATTTCTCGAGCGAAACGCTTGTTTTTGAAATCCCTATCGATAAATCACAGGGTGCGGGCCACTTTTTCGTGTGTTGAGGATGTCTCGAGCGAAACGCTTGCTCCGCAGAGTTTGCCGAGGATGTCTCGAGCGAAACGCTTGTTTTGCAGAGCCGACCGCGACGCGGAAAAGCGCCCCGCGCGAAGGAATTTCGATGATGTCTTGACTAATTCCTTTGTTTTTGTACGATTTCCTGGAATTTTTGCAGGATGTCTCGAGCGAAATGCACGACCCCACCCTAGCACGACCATACCCCAGCACGACCACACCCCAGCACGACCAGACCCCAGCACGACCCCACCCCAGCACGACCCCACCCCAGCACGACCATACCCAGCACGACCACACCCCAGCACGACCCGACCCCAGCACGACCCTACCCCAGCAAGACCACACCCCAGCACGACCACACCCCAGCACGACCCACACCCCAGCACGACCCACCCAGCACGACCACGCCCAGCACTGACACCCCCCCCAGCACGACACGCCAGCACGACCAACTCCCAGCACGACCACCACCCCCAAGCACGACCACCCCCCAGCACGACCACGCCCCAGCCGACCACACCCCAGCACGACCACCCCAGCCCGACCACACCCCCAGACGACCACACCCCAGCACGACCACACCCCAGGCACGACCACACCCCAGCACGACCCCACCCCAGCCACGCCCCCACCAGCACGACCCCAACCCTAGCACGACCCACACCCCAGCACGACCACAACCCCAAGTCACGACCTCACCACAGCACGACCACAACCCCAGCACGACCACGCCCCAGCACGACCACGCCCCAGCACGACCACACCCCAGCACGACCACCCCCCAGCACGACCACCCCCCCAGCACGACCACCCACCAGCACGACCACCCCCCAGCACGACCACACCCCAGCACGACCACTCCCCAGCACGACCACACCGCCTTGGTTGAGTGGTTGCCTGTCGTCGTGGAATGTTTCGTGGGGTGTCTCGTGGAATGTTTCGCGGGGTGTCTCGTGGAATGTTTCGTGAGGTGTCTCGCGGACTGTTTCGTGAGGTGTCTCGTGGGATGTTTCGTGAGGTGTCTCGTGGGATGTTTCGTGAGGTGTTGCCCCGTTGGGTATCGTGAAAACGTGCCCATGCTCCACATGTCTATATCCCTTTCCGGGTTCGTGGGTCCATCATGTTGAGGATGTCCCTAGCGAAACGCTTGTTTTTGAAATCGCGATCGATAAATCACAGGGTGCGGGAAACATTTTGGTCAGGGGCACGGATTACGTATGTTCCTATAGATTGGCCCCATCCAGTGGCCCGCATCTGTGTTTTTTCCCGGAAAGGGCCTAGGCCCAGGGTTCTCTTTTAGAGGTTTACCCCCGGATTTGACGGGAAGAGGGCCAGCGGATTTCTTTCGCGATAAATGACGAGTGGGAAGAGGGCCGGCGAATTCAAATTTGAGGATGTTCTTAGCGAAACGCTTTTTTTTTCAGAATTTGTTGAGGATGTCTCGAGCGAAACGCTTGTTTTGTGTTATAGATTATCTTCTCCTGCGGACCAGAATTTAGAGGATCTCTCAAGTGAAATGCTTTTTTTCACGTGCCCAGGTCTTGAGGATGTCTCGAGCAAGACGTTTGGTTTCACGCCTCCAGGTTGCCCAGACAGATGTCTAGCATGAGGATTTGTTGAGGATGTCTCGAACCAGGGGCTTGTTTTCACGTGTCCTGGTCGCCCAGGCGGATGCCTAGCATGAGGATGTGTCGAGGAAGTCTCGATCGAGACGCTTGTTTGCACGTGCCCAGGCGGATGCCTAGCATGAGGATGTGCTGAGACCGTCTTGAGCGAAACGCGTGTTTTCACGTGTCCAGGTCGCCCAGGCACAGCACAGCCTTCGGCACGGTACATCAATATCGATACCCTTAGCATTGCAGCCTGGCATGTTGCCTGGCACGTTCCGCGGAGCGTCCCGTGGCGAGTCCCCCTGGCACGTCGCGCGGTGCACATTGGCACGTTCCGTAGCTTGTCCCCTTGGCACGTCCCACGGTGCGTGCCCATGGCACGTCCCCTGGCACGTCGCCTGGCGCGTCCCTTGGGACGTTCCGCGGCGCGTCCTCCTGGCATGTCCCCCTGTCGATTAGTTCTGGGGCAGCTACCATCTGCTCAGGCAGCTCGAGCTTAAGATCCAGATCAGTTCGGCCAAGACTCGGATGCCAGGAAGGTCTCGATCCACAACGCTACATAAAGCACAATCGCGGCATGGCACATCGTAGTTCAGCTCGGCGTAGCACAGCACAGCCGTCGGCACGGTACATCAAGATCGATACATACAGCATTGCATTTGCCCGTCGTCCAATCAGGTGTCTTGGAAACGTTGCCTTGCCTTACATTTCTATATTCCTTTCTGGGTTCGTGGGTCGATCATGTTTCAAACGAATGTGCGCGGCTCTAAGGCGAGAGCCACATTTCGAAAACGATTCGCCCTCAATCCGTGAAACTTTTGCAAATGTTTAAAACAAATGGGCGCGGCGCTAAGGCGAGAGCCACACTTTGAAAACGACCCGCCCTCCATCTGTGAAACTGTTGCCCACTTTTAAGCTCCAGGGTCATAAATGGTAAGGAAGTCTCAGGCGAAACGCCTGGCCCGCCCTAAAAACTGGCCCCAGGGTGCGACAGGGAGAAATTCGCGAATCAGTGCTTGCACTGAAGGTGTCCTCGCGGATGCTGAAGAATTTGGCGAAAGTACCTTGCCGATTTTGGTGGCACGCTGGGTTCCCGGGTTCCCGGTTCCAGGTTCCCGGGTTCCTGGGTTCCTTGGTTCCTGGCCGATGGTTCACTACCAATCTCACTGTCGAGTTCATTACGGATCTCATTGGTTCCCAGGTTCCCGGTTCCGGGTTCCCGGGTTTGATCATTGGTTCCAGGCCGATGGTTAATTATCGATCTCACTGCCGATCTCATTGTCGAGTTCATTACGGATCTCATTCAATGTTCCCCAATCAGTGCTTGCAATGAAGGGGTCCTCGCGGATTTTCCCTATGAGTGCTTGCACTGAAGGGGTCCTCGCGGATGTTGAAGGATTTGGCGAAAGCGCCCCGCCGATTTTGGTCGCACGCTGGGTTCCTGGGTTCCCGGGTTCCCGGTTCCGGGTTCCCGGGTTCCCGATTCCGGGTTCCGGGCCGATTTCGGAGGGCGGCGAGGTTCCCGGTTTCCCGGGTTTCTGGTCGATTTTCTTATCGATCGGCATCGGTCTCACTATCGATCTCATTACCGACTTCTCGATCGATCTCACCATCGATCTCACAGTCGATCGAACTATCAATCTTAACAAGCGATCTCACTAGAGATCGCATGAGTGATCTCGCGATCGATTTTACAATCGATCTCATCGAATCGATTTCACTCTCGGTCTCACGATCGACCTTGCAATCGTCCTCACCCTCGATTCCATTATCGATCTCATTATCGATCTCACAATCAATCTCAAGATCCATAGTATCAATTTTCAAATCATCCACTGATTGGGTTTTCTCAGGTGTAGTTATTCATTTAAAAAGAAAAAGATTGGAGGAGGAGGAGGAGGAGGGAGGAGGGAGGAGGAGGAGGGAGGAGGGAGGAGGGAGCAGGAGGAGGAGGAGGAGGAGAGGAGGAGGAGGAGGAGGAGGAGGAGGGGGAGGAGCGGGATGAGGGGGAACGGGGTGCAGGGGCGGGGGAGGAAGAGGTGTTGTTCGTTGTTTTTCACGCCGCCCGTGGGCGCCAGCTCACACAGAGCCGGCACTGCGGCCTCGTGGCAGCGATCTGGCTGTTGGTGTGCGCAATCGGCTTTGGCGCGTCTTGTGATATTTTTTGTTTGCGTGTTTTGCCGATCGGCGCGTGCCTTCGCACCCCCCCTCCCCCCCCCAGACCCCCTCGGGCAATGAAGAAATCACGACGGACGGGTTTTCCCTATTTTCGGCCTCTGGGGGACCTCGCCGGGCCTCGGGACCGTCAAAAAACGACTCAGGACGAACAGCTGGCCCTTGGGAAGGTCCAGATTTCGGGGGGTCGACGTCATGAAAAAAGCATGACGTCGGGGGTCTGGGCCCCCTCTCCATGGAGTAGATCTTGGCTGTTCTGGGCGCCTGTGTCAGGCAGGTGGAGTCCCCCCCACAGAACGCACTGCTGCAAACGGTCGCATTCAGCAGAGGTCCGGAGCCAGATCCCCCCCCTCCCCACACCCCCTTCCGCCCAATGTCCAAACGCCGAATGAGAAAGCACCCACCTTGCAGAATTGATGACCAATTTCTGGGTCGAGCCGCAGAAGAGACCAGGGTATATGACGTCGGCCTCCCGAACTGAAGTAGCCGCACTGCATTGCGCAACACATTTTCCTCAAGGGCGTGCAGGGCGACGCAATATGTTTGAGCGGTGATGCGAATGCTTCCTTGTTGAGTTTCTTCGACAGTCCTGATGCGCCATATCAGCGCGAAGCTTGTGCTCGCAATGCGCCGATCGGTGTCATCTTGAGCACGTGCATCACGACCTGCAAACGCGCGTCCGTAGCCAGTTTGGCTCAAGCGAATCTGAACTTTACCGCCACCTGGTACTGTACCTCGACTCCCGCACTCAGGTGCGGAGAACAATGATTGCCACCGTGTCGCGAGCGTTGCTTGCCGCTGCAGCTGGAAAGGCTGTGGCAGGTTTGCAGATCCACGCTGATCAGGGGGACGTGACTTATGTGAACAACCACGCCGGCAAAATCTTCGTGGGCGTTCGGTCGGCCCCAACGGCCGCACCAACGCTGGCGACAGGAGGAAGTGCGATCCCAACGATGTGTGGCCTGCAAGTTTGTGTGGCTCGCAAGAGTGACGGCACAGCTGTCGTGTGGGGAAATCCAAATTTGGGCGGTGATGCTTCCAACGTGGATCTTACCAACGTGGCAGATGTGATGTGTGGCTCATACGCGTGTGTCGCTCGCAAGAGTGACGGCACAGCTGTCGCGTGGGGATACCATGGTGGTGACGCTTCCAACGTGGATCTTACCAACGTGGCAGATGCGATGTGTGGCGGTTACGCGTGTGTGGCTCGCAAGAGTGACGGCACAGCTGTCGTTTGGGGACATGCATCTTATGGTGGTGCCGCTTCCAGCGTGGATCTTACCAACGTGGCAGACGCGATGTGTGGCATATTTGCGTGTGTGGCTCGCAAGAGTGACGGCACAGCTGTCGTTTGGGGACATGCATCTTATGGTGGTGCCGCTTCCAACGTGGATCTTACTAACGTGGTAGATGCGATGTGTGGCGCTTCGGCGTGTGTGGCTCGCAAGAGTGACGGCACGGCTGTCGTATGGGGAGATGCATCCCGTGGTGGTGACGCTTCCAATGTGGATCTTACCGACGTGGCAGATGCGATGTGTGGCGAATTCGCGTGTGTGGCTCGCAAGAGTGACGGCACAGCTGTCGCGTGGGGGCATGCATCGTATGGTGGTGACGCTTCCAACGTGGATCTTACCAACGTGGCAGATGCGATGTGCGGTGGTGACGCGTGTGTGGCTCGCAAGAGTGACGGCACAGCTGTCGCTTGGGGAGATGCATCCCTTGGTGGTGACGCTTCAAACGTGGATCTTACCAACGTGGCAGACGCGATGTGTGGCGAATCCGCATGTGTGGCTCGCAAGAGTGACGGCACAGCTGTCGCCTGGGGAGATGCATCGCGTGGTGGTGACGCTTCCAACGTGGATCTTACCAACGTGGCAGATGTGATGTGCGGCGGTAACGCGTGTGTGGCTCGCAAGAGTGACGGCACGGCTGTCGCGTGGGGACACGCATCCCGTGGTGGCGACGCTTCCAACGTGGATCTCACCAATATAGCAAATGTGGAGGCCCCGATGAGCAGCCCGACGAGCAGCCCGACCTCGTCCCCGACGCCCAGTCCGACGAGCAGTCCGACAAGCAGCCCGACCTCCAGTCCGACCGCGTCCCCGACGTCCAGTCCGACGAACAGCCCGACCTCCAGTCCGACTTCGTCCCCGACGTCCAGTCCGACGAGCAGCCCGACCTCCAGTCCGACCTCGTCCCCGACGTCCAGTCCGACGAGCAGCCCGACCTCCAGTCCGACCTCGTCCCCGACTCCCAGTCCGACGAGCAGTCCGACGAGCAGCCCGACCTCCAGTCCGACCGCGTCCCCGACTCCCAGTCCGACGAGCAGCCCGACCTCCAGTCCGACCTCGTCCCCGACGTCCAGTCCGACGAGCAGCCCGACCTCCAGTCCGACCTCGTCCCCGACTCCCAGTCCGACGAGCAGTCCGACGAGCAGCCCGACCTCCAGTCCGACCGCGTCCCCGACTCCCAGTCCGACGAGCAGCCCGACCTCCCCGACGTCCCCGACGCCCAGTCCGACGAGCAGTCCGACGAGCAGCCCGACCTCCAGTCCGACAGCGTCCCCGACGTCCAGTCCGACGAGCAGCCCGACCTCCAGTCCGACCTCGACCCCGACGCCCAGCCCGACGAGCAGTCCGACTGAGGGAACAACCTCGGCACCAACGCCCGCGCCGACGCCCGCGCCGACCCCAGGGCCAACACTACCCCCAACGTCGAGCCCGACTGGGGCCCCATCGCCACATGTGCCGAGCACGGCCGTAGGAGACCCCCACGTCACGAATCTGATCGGGGCTTCCTTCGACGTCAATCAGCCGGGCGAGCACGTCCTCCTGCGCACGCCCTTCGACGAGGGCCTCCCGCCCCAGCTCGAGGTCCGCGCCAGGATGAGGCCGGCGCCCGCATCGCCCTGCGGCCTGTGGATCACGGAGGTGATCTTCGGAGGCGAGTGGGTCGGCGCGGACGAGGTCCGCGTGCGCACGTCGACCCGGGGGTCCGCCGAGGGCGAGCCCGGCCACTTCGCCCTGCGGTCGGGGCCAGGCGACGGCACCCGGGCCGCGTCGGGGTGGAGGCCGTGGGCCGCCTTCGGCAAGGGCGAGGGGGTGGCCCTGTCCAGCTACGTGACGGTCCGGCCGGCCTTCCGGGCCTTCCGTGGGCCGGTCGCCGTCAGGGGCAGGAGGGTCTTCGAGTTCCTCATCGGGAAGGCCCGCGCTCTGGACGAGCGCGTGTCGGTTGTCGTTGCGCAGGAGACGCGGCAGGCGTCGCTGGACGTGCAGGCAACGCGCCTCGGCAGAGTGGGCGGGTCCGCCCGCTTCGGGGGCCTCCTCGGCACCGAGGAGCACGACCCAGCGGTTGAGGAGGTCTCCTCGGAGTGCGCCGCGCACCTCAAGAGCAGTGGCGCGGGCAAGGGGCCCGGATGGGAGCCGGCGAGCAGCTCCATGAAGGGCCAGTTGTACTCCAGCTCGACGGCTGAAGGCTCGGCGTCGCCGCGGCTCCAGGCGGCGAGCAGAATGTCTGCGACGCTGTGAGCTTTCGCGCTGCATCGGGTGTAGCCACGTTCAGGGGTGGCTGGGGGAGGAGAATCCTTTTTCCCCAAACAGCTTGCTGAACGGGGTGCTGTTGTGATAGAAGCTAATTCCGGCCGAGGGAAAGCTAAGCAGAGACATCCTCAAACAAATGTGGTGGTCCGGCCCGTTTCGCCTGAGACATCCTCACAACTCTCGTTTCTGAGTTGTCCAGGATTGAGCGTTTCGCCTGAGACATCCTCCTAAATCTGAGCTCTGAGAGGCCGCGCGAGAGTGGTCCGGGCCGTTTCGCTTGAGACATCCTCGAAACTCTGAGCTCCCAGATGCCGCGCGAGAGGTGGTCCGGGCCGTTTCGCCTAAGACATCCTCGCAACTCTGAGCTCCAAGATGCCGCGCGCGAGGTGGTCCGGCCCGTTTCGCCTGAGACATCCTCGAAGCTCTGATCTCCCCGATGCCGCGCGCGAGGTGGTCCGGCCCGTTTCGCCTGAGACATCCTCGAACTTCTGAGCTCTGAGATGCCCTGCGCGAGGTGGTCCGGCCCGTCTCGCCTGAGAAATCCTTGCAACTCTGAGATCTGAGATGCCGTGCGCAAGGTGGTCCAGCCTGTTTCGCACAAGACATTCTCGCAACTCTGAGCTCTCAGATGCTGCGCAAGAGGTGGTCCAGCCTGGGGGCCCAGAAGGCCACATGTTACATATCCTCCATGGGACCCTGCGAGCCTCAGGAGGCCCCAGAGAGGTCCAGGAGGCCGCAGGACGCCCAGGACAGGCCCCAGGGGCCCCCAGGAGATTCCCAGGAGGCCCCAGGAGGCCGCTTATCAGAACGTGTCAAGTTAATACACATCCGGTATCGATTCGTTGATTTTTCCTGCTCTTGTGCCCCCCCCCCCTCAATTTGGAGAGGCCCAAACGGCCACAGGTTAGATATCCCCCCTGGGAGCCCCAAGATGCTTCAGGAAACCTCAGGTGGAGTTCAGGAGGCCACAGGAGGCCCAGGAGGAAGCTCCAGGAGGTCCCCAGGAGGCCCAGGAGGCACCAGGAGGCCGCAGGACGCCCAGGACAGGCCCCAGGGGTCTCCAGGAGATTCCCAGGAGGCTCCCAGGAGGCCCCAGGGGGCCGCTTATCAGAACGTGTCAAGTTAATACACATCCGGTGTCGATTCGTTGATTTTTCCTGCTCTTGTTCCCCCCCCCCTTCCATTTGGAGAGGCCAAACGGCCACAGGTTAGATATCCCCCCTGGGAGCCCCAAGAGGCTTCAGGAAACCCCAGGTGGAGTTCACGAGGCCACAGGAGGCCCAGGAGGAAGCTCCAGGAGGTCCCCAGGAGGCCCCAGGAGGCACCAGGAGGCCCCCGCAACTCGGAGCTCTGAGACGCCGCGCTCGAGGTGGTCCGGCCCGTTTCGCCTGAGACTTCCTCGCAGCACGTTTCGCCCGAGACATCGTCGCAACTCTGGGGTCCGAGATGCCGCGCGCGAGGTGGTCCAGCCCGTTACGCTGGAGACATCCTCGCAACTCTAGGCTCCGAAATGCCGTTCGCGATGAAGAGGAGGTGGAGGAGGAGGAGGAGGAGGAGGAGGAGGAGGAGGAGATGGAAGGGAGAAGGAGGAGGCGGATGGTGTGCATGAGGGAGCAGGCAGGAGGAGGGGGAGGCCCCAGAGAGCTGCAGGAGGCCGCAGGACGCCCAGGACAGGCCCCAGGGGTCCGCAGGAGATTCCCAGGAGGCTCCCAGGAGGCCCCAGGAGGCCCTCTATCAGAACGTGTCAAGTTAATACACATCCGGTGTCGATTCGTTGATTTTTCCTGCTCCTGTGGCCCCCCCCTGTATCTGGAGAGGCCCAAACGGCCACAGGTTAGATATCCCCCCTGGGAGCCCCAAGATGCTTCAGGAAACCTCAGGTGGAGTTCAGGAGGCCACAGGAGGCCCGGGAGGAAGCCCCAGGAGGTCCCCAGGAGGCCCCAGGAGGCACCAGGAGGCCCCCGCAACTCGGAGCTCTGAGACGCCGCGCCCGAGGTGGTCCGGCCCGTTTCGCCTGAGACTTCCTCGCAGCACGTTTCGCCCGAGACATCGTCGCAAACACTCTGGGGTCCGAAAGGCCGGCGCGAGTGGTCCAGCCCGTTACGCTGGAGGACATCCTCGCAACTCTGGGTTCAGAGGGATGCCTTTCGGGAGAAGGAGGAGGTGACGAGGAGGAGGAGGAGGAGGAGGAGGAGGAGGAGGCATGTTTTAACATGCCATGCCAGCCCGCACTAGGCGGGCACGCAATCGACCTTGGAAACCGCAGTGGGTCTAAAAACCCTGTTTGGGGATACTGCACTCCGGCTATAATTTTGAGGGGCCCAAGCGGCCACAGGTTAGATATCCCCCCCGGGAGCCCCAAGAGGCTTCAGGAAACCCCAGGTGGAGTTCAGGAGGCCACAGGAGGCCCAGGAGGAAGGCCCAGGAGGCCCCAGGAGACACCAGGAGGCCCCCGCAACTCAGAGCTCTGAGAGGCCCCCTATCAGAACGTGTGAAGTTAGTACACATCCAGTGTCGATTCGTTGATTTTTCCTGCTCTTGTGGCCCTCGCATTTTGGAGGGCCCCGACGGCCACATGTTAGATATCCCCCCTCTGAGAGCCCCAAGAGGCTTCAGGAAGCCCCAGGTGGGGTCCAGGAGGCCACAGGAGGCCCAGGAGGAAGCCCCAGGAGGTCCCCAGGAGGCCCCAGGAGGCCCCAGGAGGCCCACGCAACTCTGAGCTCTGAGACGCCGCGCTCGAGGTGGTCCGGCCCGTTTCGCCTGAGACTTCCTCGCAGCACGTTTCGCCCGAGACATCGTCGCAACTCTGGTGGTCCGGCCCATCTCGCCTGAGACATCCTCGCAGCTCTGAGCTCCGAGATGCAGTGCGCGAGGTGGTCCGGCCCATCTCGCCTGAGACATCCTCGCAACTCTGAGCTCTGAGATGCCGGCGTTGACATCCGCGGGCCTGTTGCACAAGCCAGGCTTTGGTGTTACGCTGTGCGATGCCGCGCGCGAGGGGGTACCAGCCCGTACGCTGGGAGACATCCTCGCAACTCTGGGCTCCGAGATGCCCTGCGCGAGGTGGTCCGGCCCATCTCGCCTGAGACATCCTCGCAACTCTGAGCTCTGAGATGCCGTGCGCAAGGTGGTCCGGCCCGTTTCGCACAAGACATTCTCGCAACTCTGAGCTCTCAGATGCTGCGCAAGAGGTGGTCCAGCCTGGGGGCCCAGAAGACCACATGTTACATATCCCCCCTGGGACCCTGGGAGCCCCAGGAGGCCCCAGAGAGCTTCAGGAGGCCGCAGGACGCCCAGGACAGGCCCCAGGGGTCCGCAGGAGATTCCCAGGAGGCTCCCAGGAGGCCCCAGGAGGCCCCCTATCAGAACGTGTCAAGTTAATACACATCCGGTGTCGATTCGTTGATTTTTCCTGCTCTTGTGGCCCCCCCCCCATTTGGGCTGGGGGGGCCCCGACGGCTACAGGTTAGATATCCCCCCCTGGGAGCCCCAAGAGGCTTCAGAAGCCCCAGATGGGGTCCAGGAGGCCACAGGAGGCCCATGAGGAAGCTCCAGGAGGTCACCAGGAGGTCCCAGGAGGCCCCAGGAGGCCCCCGCCACTCGAAACTCTGAGACGCCGCGCTCGAGGTGGTCCGGCCCGTTTCGCCTGAGACTTCCTCGCAGCACGTTTCGCCCGAGATGCCGCGCGCGAGGTGGTCCAGCCCGTTACGCTGGAGATATCCTCGCAACTCTGGGCTCCGAGATGCCCTGCGCGAGGTGGTCCGGCCCATCTCGCCTGAGACATCCTCGCAACTCTGAGCTCTGAGATGCCGTGCGCAAGGTGGTCCGGCCTGTTTCGCACAAGACATTCTCGCAACTCTGAGCTCTCAGATGCTGCGCGCGAGGTGGTCCAGCCTGAGGGCCCAGAAGACCACATGTTACATATCCCCCCTGGGACCCTGGGAGCCCCAGGAGGCTCCAGAGATCTTCGGGAGGCCGCAGGACGCCCAGGACAGGCCCCAGGGGTCCGCAGGAGATATCCAGGAGGCTCCCAGGAGGCCCCCTATCAGAACGTGTCAAGTTAATACACATCCGGTGTCGATTCGTTGATTTTTCCTGCTCTTCTGGCCCCCCCCCCCCCATTTTGGGGGGCCCCGACGGCCACATGTTAGATATCCCCCCCTGGGAGCCCCAAGAGGCTTCAGGAAGCCCCAGGTGGGGTCCAGGAGGCCACAGGAGGCCCAGGAGGAAGCCCCAGGAGGTCACCAGGAGGCCCCAGGAGGCCCCAGGAGGCCCCCGCAACTCGGAGCTCTGAGACGCCGCGCTCGAGGTGGTCCGGCCCGTTTCGCCTGAGACTTCCTCGCAGCACGTTTCGCCCGAGATGCCGCGCGCGAGGTGGTCCAGCCCGTTACGCTGGAGACATCCTCGCAACTCTGGGCTCCGAGATGCCCTGCGCGAGGTGGTCCGGCCCATCTCGCCTGAGACATCCTCGCAACTCTGAGCTCAGAGATGCCGTGCGAAGGTGGTCCGGCCTGTTTCGCACAAGACATTCTCGCAACTCTGAGCTCTCAGATGCTGCGCGCGAGGTGGTCCAGCCTGAGGGCCCAGAAGACCACATGGTTACATATCCCCCCTGGGACCCTGGGAGCCCCAGGAGGCCCCAGAGAGCTTCAGGAGGCCGCAGGACGCCCAGGACAGGCCCCAGGGGTCCGCAGGAGATATCCAGGAGGCTCCCAGGAGGCCCCAGGAGGCCCCTATCAGAACGTGTCAAGTTAATACACATCCGGTGTCGATTCGTTGATTTTTCCTGCTCTTGTGGCCCCCCCCCCATTTTGGGGGGGCCCCGACGGCCACAGGTTAGATATCCCCCCCTGGGAGCCCCAAGAGGCTTCAGGAAGCCCCAGATGGGGTCCAGGAGGCCACAGGAGGCCCATGAGGAAGCTCCAGGAGGTCACCAGGAGGTCCCAGGAGGCCCCAGGAGGCCCCCGCCACTCGGAACTCTGAGACGCCGCGCTCGAGGTGGTCCGGCCCGTTTCGCCTGAGACTTCCTCGCAGCACGTTTCGCCCGAGATG